TTTGGTTTTTTGGGGGTTTTTTTGTTTTTTGTTTTTTGTTTTTTTTGTGTGTGTGATTCTGGGGATTGAACCCAGGACCTTTGCATGAGCTATATCCCTAACACGATTGATTGAAAGAGTTTTGCCATGTAGTTCAGGCTGGCCTCAAATTTGCAGCAATCTTTCCACCTCAGTCTCCCAAGTCCTAAGATTACAGGTATGCCCCATCACGCCCAGTTTATTTCTCTTTTTTTTTTTTCCAATTTATTTTTTTATTTTGAGACAGGATCTCTCTTAGTGGCTAAATTGCCCAGGCTGGGCTTGAATTGTAATCTTTTTGCCTCAGCTTCCCAGAGTGCTGGGGTCAGAGGAGTGCAATAGCACTTTAAAGATGGACGTCTGGGGCCAGGGATTTAGCTCAGTGGTTCCGCCACCTGCCTCCCAAACACAAGATCCCAAGTTCGATCCCTGGTACCCAAAAATAAATTAAATAAAGATAGACGTCTAGAGTTTTAGTATCTGGTTTCTCATTCAGTTTTCTTTCTTTTGACAACAAAATTTATTCTTTAACCATTTCAAACATCCCTTCCTCAGAAATACGGTGGTTTGGTTTTTGTTGGGGTTTTTTTGGTTTTTTTTGGTTTTTTTTGCTTTTTTCAGTCTTACTTTATAGTTAGGCTGGCCCTGAATTCATTAGTCACTCAGGCTGACCTCAAACTCCTGGCAATCCTTCTGCCTCTGCCTCCTGAGTGCTGGGATTACAGGAACAAGCCACCACACCCGGATTGGTGTTCACATTTGCTTAGTGAACAGCTGTGCTGTCCAAGCACTGGCGTGGCACACCACAGGCCCAGTTGGCCCACTGCAGGCCCCACGGCCGGCTTTTCTCCCAGTTACCTTTTTCAGACATCCCTGGCCACACCTTCCCACACCCATTTCAGTTTGGGTTTAATAAGGTCCTTGGGCATGACTCACTGATTTTCCTGGTGTCCAACTCATTACTTTTTTTTTGTACCCGGATCGAACTCGGGTCCTTGCCCTTGTGAGGCAGGTGGTATTGAATCCCCCGCCCCAACTCATTGCTTTGATAGCCAGACCTTTCCTGACCTCCAGGCTGTTAAAACTCATGCCTCAGCACTAAGGAGAATGGCTTTCTCAATTGTGGTTAAAACATACATGACATAAAAATTCCCATTAGTGACATTTTTTAGTACATCACAGTAGTTTGAAACCAGCACATTTTCATCATCCCAAAAGGAAACCCCACACCTGTTAGTATTTCCCCTATCTCCTGCTCCCAGCAGCCACTAATCTACTTTGTGCCCCTGTGGATCTGCCTGACTGTAGATTTCATATAATTAAGATGAAGTCATGCCACTAGTGACATTTTGTGTCTGGATTATTTTGTCTGATATTTTCAAGGTTTACTATCTGTGTCAGAACCCCAGCTCTTTTTATTTTTTTTTAATTTTGAGAGATCTCACTAAGTTATGGCTAGCCTTGAATTTGTGATCCTTTTGCCTCAGCCCCTTGGGTGCTGGGATTAGAGGTGTACACCACCATACCCAGCATCATTTTTATTTTTTAAGTTACAGCCATGCTGGTGGATATGTGTACAATTTGTTTGTTTGTTTGTTTGTTTGTTTTTTAAGTACTTTGTACCGGGGATCAGAACTCAGGACCTTGTGCTTGTGAGGCAGGCAGCAAACCACTGAGCTAAATCCCCAGCCCTTTAATACTACTTTTTAAAGTATCTTTAAGTTGTAAATGTGTCATCCTTTGAAACCCTCCAGTAGCATTCAGAATTTTTAAAAGCCCACAAAACTGCTTACTTAGGAGCCATTTAAAATTTGTCTTTCTGCCCCATCACTTCACTGCAGGCACAAAGGCCACATGGTCCCGAGGGTTTTGCATGAGACTCCCTTTACCTGTAATGCTCTCTTAGAGACGGGACTGGCCTGCACCTTGACACCTTCACCTTCTCAAATCTGTGTGTGTCTGTTTACTAGGGACTGGGTCCAGAGTCTTCACACTGATCTACATCTCTAGTCTCTTATTTTTTTTTTTTTTTTAGTCCAAACTTGAGGTCCTCCTGCATCTGCCTCCAGAAAGCTGGGAATACAGATGTGTGCCACCACACCTGGCTCAAATGTCTATCTCTTGCCCTCCCTACTTTACAATGAGTCATCCTTACTCTTTTTAATTTTATTTATTTGGAGCTGAGAATGAACTCAACCCGTGCGTGCCAGCCAAGCGCTCCACCAAGAGCTCCACGTCCAGCTCCCTTCAAGTACTGTGTTTTACACTGTAACCCTCAGTTTTGTCTGGCTTGTTCCCTGCGATACTGCCGTGTGGTGACTATGTGACGTCCAGCTCTTTCTCAACTTTTATCATAAAAACCAATGCTTGCTCTGCAGAGCTTTCTGGGGTTGCTTTGGTTTGATTTCTGAGACAAGGTCTCGCTCCGCGGCCAGACGGTCAGGACCGGGGCATGAGGCACTGCGGTCTCCAGTGAAGCAGCCCTTCGCGAAGCCCGACCGCGCGACCCCAGGTCCCGGTGCTGACAAAAGCTGGAGGGCGACGGGAGGGCAGATGACACAGCCTGGTGGACAGTGTTCAGAAAGGCCGCCTTCCTCTCAGAGATGGACACCTGAACCTAGGTTTGGCGGAAGTGCCCAGGACCCCAGGGAAAGTTCACACAGAAAGAGCTCGGTGCCACGTGACCGTGTGTTGTCACGTGGCCACGTGTCACACCACGTGACGGGTTCCTTCCAGCCCCTCCCCTCGGGCCCGCCCCCTGCCGTCTGACTCCGGCTTAGCAAAGCGAACGCTGGAAGGGAGAGACTGGGACAGCGCCCAGAACTCCCGAGAGCCAAGATGGGTTTCCAGGCAGAGGTAGACAGCAAGAAGGTCACGGCGAAGATCGCGAAGTCCAACACGGTTCTCGACCTGGGAGCCACATCTTGGATCCTCTGCTGGCTTTTTTAAAAATTAATAATTTTTATTAATTAAAGGAAAACAGTTACAATTAAAAAGTGAAAAATTGCCGGGGATTTAGCTCAGTTCGATCCCCGGTACAAAAAAGAGGGGGGCATGCTGGCCCACGCCTGTAATCCCAGCTCTTAGGAGACTGAGGCAGGAGGATCCTTATGAGGTTGAAACCAGCCTGGGCTACATAGTGAGTTCCAGTCTCAAAACAGAAAAGAGGGCCTGGGAATTAGCTCAGTGGTTCTTCTGCCTTCTTCACAAGCACGAGGTCCCGAGTTTGATCCCCAGTACCAAAGACAAAAAAACAAAAGAATAAAAGGGCAGTGTCTTGTCCAGCTCCATCTTCCTGACTCGTGCCCACGGGGTGGGGGCAGCAGCAGCCATAACCTCTGGTGGTCACCTCCATATGCCCGCTGCTTTGTCCTCCACCCTTGAGTCATGGGATGCTGACTTCCTTTTTGGGTAAATAAAGGTTATAACTCACTCAGATCCACATGATCCCTGCTGTCCTCTACATGTAATTTGTGTTAGGAAAGCTATTTGGCTGTTTGAAAGGACTGAAATAATAAATGCCTTGCCTTATACAAGATAGAAGTCTGTTTCTGCCTCACCTATCAGCAGAAACAACTCAGGGCTGAAGTGGTGGTTTGCAGATACCAGGAAGCCACGCTCTTTCTGTGCTGTGGCTTTCTATCTTCAGATGTTTTCCATTTTGGTGTCCGAGGTGGCTGCTGCAGGTTTCCCACCACTTCCACCCACGATCCAGCGGCAGAAAGGGGCTTGGCAAGGGGAAAGCACAGCGTGCTTTTCCCTCCACAGCAGGACTCAGAATTGTCACACACCTGTGTGCATTCCACATGACTACCACTGCCCCGCGTGTGACTTTTGTTGAACATTTCTTTATCTCAGTTATAATGAGCTACTGTTCCAGCATGTACTGTGTGCCAGATACTATTATAAGTTCTCTATATGTATAATTTAACCATTAAAACAGTCTTTGAAGTAAGTGTTGTGTCCTTGTACGGGCAAGGAAACAGGCACAGTCAGATTACTGTCAGATCACTTCAGGAGCAAGGCTGTGACTCCAGAGCCTGTTTATATTCTCTGAAGCTGGCTGTGGTGGCACCCACCTGTAATCCCAGCACTCAAGAGGCTGAGGCAGGATTATTGCCAAGGCCAGCCTGAATTACAGACCAAGACCATGTCTCAGAAAGAAAAACAAAAAAAAAGATTCTTTGAAACCAGGCATGGTGGCACAGGCCTGTGATTACAGTACTCTGAGAGGTTGAGGCAGGAGCCTGAGCAGTTTAGTGATTTAGCAAGACGCTGTTTCAAAATAAAAAAAGCCTGGGGATAGAGCTCCGTGTGAAGGCTCTGGGTTCACTTCCCTCTTGGCTTTTTTTGGGCTATATTCTTGTGTGGGGGGTGGAGGATTCTTTGAGCCAGCCATTGGTGATACGTGATTGTAATCTCAGCACTCAGAAAGCTGTGGTTAGAGGACTTAGAGTTCAAGACCAGCCTGGGGTACATAGCAAGTTTGAGACCAGCCTGGATTTCATAATGAGCCTTGTCTCCAAAAAAAATGTTGCTTGAACTTGGAGATTGTGGCATTCTAGGGAGGCATCGTGCGAATATGTTGGTTTTTACCAAATTCTCACCTGGATCCTTTTGCATCTGTGTGACAGGCTGATAATGTAGGTGAGACTTGGTTAATGTTTAATGTGCGGGTTTTGTTAGGATCAGCTACATCCACAGCAGGCCCTGATGAACTTCCTGCCTGCTGGTTCTGTACGACAAACTTGTGCAGCTCCATCTCTACATGAGAGACCTTCTTAAGTAGATTCTGTAAAAGCACCCAAAACATTTATGTAGCTTTTATTTCTTGGGCTGATGGCCAACAGTGACAGCTGCAGCCAGGCTCCTAAAAGAATTTGAAAGGAGAAGCACCCACCACCCCAACACACACCCACACACACAGCTTTTTGCTGTGGGACCAACCTTAACCTTAACTAGCTCTTGTTTTACCTGGGCAGTCACCAGGAGTTAAACTTTGGGATGTGCACAGGATGATGGACAACAAGGATGTAGAAGCTGAAATCCACCCCTTGAAGAATGAAGACAGAAAATCACAGGAAAGTTTTGTAAACAGATTGAAAAATGAAGATAACTCAAAAAGCATGCCTGTGTCGTCCCGGCTCTCCCGGTGCCGGACAGTGGCATTTTTTCTTTCGTTGTTTATCTGCCTTTTTGTGGTGTTTGTGGTCTCCTTCGTCATCCCATGTCCAGACCGACCAGAGTCACAGAGGATGTGGAGAATCGATTACAATGCAGCAGGTGAGCCTTTGGGGCCCTTCCTCCCACTGAAGTGCCAGACCCTTCTCTGGGGAGCAGGGTGGCGTGTCTCCGAGTCCACCCTGAGTGGCCACCAGCTCTTTAGGGAGCTGCCAGGCAGCCTGTGAGAGAAACTGCCAGGATGCGGAAAACAAGCACCACGTGGTTAACACTTGGTTACTTTTCTTACTAAAGAAAATTCATTAAAATAAGAGAATGCAGCCAGGTGTGGTGGCGCACGCCTGTAATCCCAGCACTCGGGAGGCTGAGGCAGGAAGATCGCTGTGAGTTCGAGACCAGCCTGGGCTACACAGTGAGTTCCAGGTCAGTCTCAACTACATAGTGAGACCCTGTCTCAAAAAAAAAAAAAAACCCAAAGAGAATGCCTGTCATAAAATGTGAAAACTATGCAGCAGGGGGGATTGTCCTGTCTTCCTGAGCTGCTCCAGATAAGCTAAAGGTAAAGTACACTCATTTCTGTATCACAAAGTGGCCTTTACGAAAAGCTGCTGAGTCAGCTTCCATCCGGCACTCCTCTGAGAGAGCAGCACCTACAGGGCCAGCCAGGGGTGGGAGGCCCGACGGCCTCGGAGTACATTGTGCTCAGTGTATGAGCTTAATTTCTTTTATGATTTGGGGGGAAAGGGCCATGGTCATGTTTGTCACTCGATACACAATTTCTGAGTGGAAGCAAAATTTTGCCAGACACTTTTGTTTGTAAACCAAATCATTTGCAAACAGAAGCATTTGTGAACTGAGGTATTACTATATTTCTTTGCACAAGCTTGACTTCTTTGATGAAATAGAGAATGTCTTTTTTTTTTTGTACCAGGGATCGAACTTGGGCCCTTGTGCTTACAAGACAGGCAGTGGAACCACTGAGCCAAATCCCTGGCCCGAGAATGTCTTATTGAAGCTTAATTTAGGGTCAGTTCTGTTGAGAAGTTAGTGGTTAATTTTAATGAGAGGAATGAATGTGCTCCTCTATTTTTTGCAACTTTATTGTAATTTTTTTTTTGAGACAGGGTTTCACTCGTAGTACACTATATAACCCAGGCCGGTCTTAGACTCACAGCAATCCTCCTGCCTCAGCCTCCCAAGTGATGGGATTACAGTTGTGGACCACCACACTTGGCTATATTGCAATTTAAGTGCCATCAAATTAACTTGTTTTCCCCAGTACATGAATCATTTATTTTTTCTCTAGTTGAATCATAATCTCATCACATGTCTTTTCTGGAGAAGGGAGAAGTTTGACTAATAAAACATGGACACCAAAAGCTGAGTCTGTTTTTTTTTTTTGTACCAGGGATCAAACTTGATCTGTGCTTGTGAGGCAGATGGTGGCACCACTGAACTAATCCCAAGCCCTATTCTATATAGTCCATTCTTCTAGTCATAAACCATGAAATCATTTCCCTCACCTCATGAGGATTAGTAGAGGACAAAAGAAGACCAGAAGCCAGGCGTGGTGGCACACACCTGTAATCCCAGCACTTGGGAGGCTGAGGCAGGAGGATCGCTGTGAGTCCAAGACCGGCCTGGGCTACATAGTTCCAGGTCAGTCTCAACTGCATAGTGAGACCCTGTCTCAAAAAAAAGACTAGGGAGGGCAAGGGATTTAGCTCAGTGGTTCTGGCACCTGTCTCACAAGTGCAAGGACCCAAGTTTGATCCCTGGTACTAAAAAAAAATAGACTAGGGAGGTAGAAGTACTTGGTTTTTTTTTTCTTTTTATTGGGGGGGGTTGTTTTTTTGGTTTTTATAAGACAGGGTCTCACCATGTAGTTGAGACTGACCTGGAACTCACTCTGTAGCCCAGGCCGGTCTCGAACACACAGCGATCCTCCTGCCTCAGCCTCCCGAGTACTGGCATTACAGGTGTGTGCCACCACGCCCGGCAGAATTTGGCTTTCTTGAAAACAAAAGAAACCAGGCATGGTAGTGCACGTCTATGATCCCAGCACTCTGGGAGAGAGAAGCAGAAGGAGCACAAGTTCAAGCCCAGTTTGCGTAACTTAGTGACTTAACAAGACCGTATCTCAAAATGAAAAAAGGGCAAAGGACATGGCTCAGTGAAATGAAGATGTCAACAATACTTCTATTGTTGAGAAAGAAAATTTGAAAAAAAAAAAAAAAAACGGCAAGTTGTTTTAGGGTTCGTTTCTGGTTTTGAGACAAGATTTCTTTATACTGTCCAGGTTGGCCTCAAACTCCCGATCCTCCTCCCTCAGCCTCACGAGTTTCTGGATTACAGCCATGTGCCACCATGCCCAGCTTATTTCGCAGATGGTTCCTGACTTTTTCACACCGAAATATCAGGGCAAATCAGCAGTGTAGATAGATGAAGTCACTCGTGCTGCTTCTGAAGCCAGTTTGGCACGCGGCCACTTTGGTGATGACGTTGTTTCCTGCGTCCATGTGTGCGATACTGAAACTTAGAATAGCAGGAAAGGCTTTTTAAGACTTTTGTTGTTGTTCTTGAATAATTAAAGTGGAATTTGTCCTTTGTGTAACAGTAAACTTGCTCTCCACACCTTGTCTAGCCCTGTGGTGGAGCTGGAATGCGTGACTTTTTTTACTGTGCATATTAGTAATACAGAATGCAAGTCACTTTGCTATATTAAATACATAAAAGTGTGGAACAAGTAGCTGGGCGTGGTGGCGCACGCCTGTGATCCCAGCACTCGGGAGGCTGAGGCAGGATTGCCTTACATTCAAGATCAGCCTGGCTGCAGAGTTCAAGGCCAGCCTGAATTGCACGGGGAGACTCTGTCTCAAACAAAGCAAGCAAACAAATATAGAGCACTCCCGGAAGTTGCGGCCATCCTTGCACACAGGAGCCGTGCTAATCTTTTCTTTGTTGCTCCAGTTTTGTATATGTAAGGCCAAAGTGAGCATAATTCACTTGTGTGTACCCAGTTCATTTTAGTAAGTTTTTTGTTGCTTTGATACTGGGGATTGAGCTTCACGCCTTATGCATACTAGTCGGGTGCACTACCACTGGGCTACATCTCCAGCTGTCATTAAATTATTTTTATTTTTTAAGAAAGGATCTTGCGGGCCGGGGATTTAGCTCAGTGGTTCCACCTCCTGCTTCACAAGCACAAGGACCCGAGTGCGATCCTGGTACCAAAAAACAAAAAAACAAACAAACAAAGGATCTTGCTAAATTGCTTAGTTTTCTGCTGCCCTCACAGTTTGCTCTTCCATGGGCTAGGGATTTAGCTCAGTGGTCCCACAGCTTGCCTGGAAAGTACAAGGTCCTGAGTTCGATCCCCAGTACAAAAAAAAAAAAATTGCTCCTCCTGCCTCAGCCTCCTCAGTAGCTGGGATCACAAACAGGTTCCACTGTGTCCAGGCATTTTAACCATTTTAAATCACACAGTTCAGTGGCATTAAGTACATTTACAATGCTGTATTTACTATCGCCACCGTTTCTAGAACTTTATCAGTTAGAAAGTGTGCCCAGTAAATAAGAACTCTCCATCTCTTTCCTCATAGCCCCTGGAAACCTCAAATCTACTCTCTGCCTCTGTGAATTTTCCTACCCTAGGGTACCTCGTATAAGTAGAATCATACAATATTTGTCATTCAGTGTCTGGCTAGTTTCATTTAACCTGATGTCCTAAGAGTCCTCTGTGCCGTACATGTACCAGAGCTTTATACCCTTGCATAGCTGAATCATGTTCCTTTGTGTGGCTGTACAGTCATCCTTCCTTCAGTACCCAAGGGGTGCTTACTCGTGGCAGGACCTGTACCCCAAAAGGTACAACAAACCAGGCGTGGTGGCGCACGCCTGTAATTCCAGCACTCAGGAGGCTGAGGCAGGAGGATCGCTGTAAGTTCGAGACCAGCCTGGGCTACATAGTGAGTTCCAGGTCAGTCTCAACTACCTAGTGAGACCCTGCCTCAAAAAACAAACAAAAACAAAAAAAAATACCCAAAAAACAAAAGGTAACACAGTCTCAGAGTGGTCACGTCTCTTATATAAAGTTGTACCGTATTTGCATATAATCCATGCACATTATCCTATATACTTTACTTATTTTGAGATGTCTGTGTTACCCAGTCTACCCCCAAATTCCTGAGCTGAAGTGACCCCCCGGCTTCAGCCTCCTGTGTAGGTGGCTCTATCCGTACCTACCTCGACGCCCAGCATCCGTTATGCTGGAGACCGTCTCGGACTACTTACGATGTCTAATGCAATGTAAGTTTTTAAACATTTGCTTTGCTGTATTATCCAAGGAATAATGACAAGGCAAGAAAATCTGTGTATGTCTAGGGCAGACACTTTTTTTTTTTTGGTACCAGGGATCGAACTCAGGACCTTGAGCTTGGGAGGCAGACGCAGCACTACCGAGCAAAATCCCCGGCCCTAGACTTTTTAAAAATGTGTTTTGTTTCAAGGATACATTTTTTATTCTGAATTTTTTTCATCTGAAGTCTCACATCTGTGGATGTGGAACCTGGAAACACAGGGCTGACCACGCGTCACACGTCTGTTGCTGGCAAGGTTACTTCCACCTTTTGGTTGTAGTGAATGTGCTGCTGTGCATAGATGTACAGGTGAGGCGCCTTTGAACTACTGCTCTTTTTTGTTTTGTTTTTTGTTGTTTTGGTTTTTTGGGGTTTTTTGAGACAGAGTCTCACTATGTAGTTGAGTCTGACCTGGAACTCACTATGTAGCCCACGCTGGTCTCGAACTCACAATGATCCTCCTGCCTCAGCCTCCTGAGTGCTGGGATTACTGATGTTCTGGGGTTACAGATGCCTGGCTTGCTCTTGATTCTTGTAGGTGTAGTAATACTGCTAAGTCACGTGCTGACTCTATATGGTGGCACGACTGAGCTAATTCCCTGTCCTATTTTTAACTTTTTTGAGAAGCTGCTAGGCTTTTTTCACAGTACCTATACCATTTTACACTTCATCAGTGATGCCTGAGGATCCAGCCAGCACTTGTTTTGTGTTTGTTTTTGTCTAATGACCGTCCTAGACATCTCTTTGTGGTTTTGATTAGATTTCCCTAATGATTAGTAATGTGGAGAATCTTTTCGTGTACTTACTGGTCATTTGTACATCCTTTTAGGTGAAATATACATTAAATCCTTTGCCTATTTTTCAACTGGGTTGTGTGTTTGATCATTGGGTCATAGGAGTCATTACGTATTTTGGATACTGATCTCCTATGGTATGTATGATTTGCAAATATTATTTTGGCTTCACTCTCTTCATTTTGTTGTTATTGTTTGTTTTGTTGTTGTTTGGTACCAGGGATCGAACTCGGCTCCTTGTGCTTGTGAAGCAGGCTCTGAAACCACTGCGCTAGATCCCGGGCCCGAACTTTTTTTTTTTTGGTACCAGGGATGGAACTCAGGTCCTTGCTCTTGCGAGGAAGGTGGTGACACCACTGAGCTAAATCCCCAGCCCTATTATTTGTTTGTTTGAAGACTCACTATGTAGTTCAGACTGGCCTTGAACTCATTATGTAGCCTAAGCTGGTCTCCAACTTATGGCCGTCCTTCTGCCTCAGCCTCCTGAGGGCTGGGATTACAGGCGTGCAGCTGGGCTTTCACTCTCTTCATAGTGACTCTGAGGCCTGAAAGTTTTTTTTTTTTCCTTTGATACCAGGGATCAAACTCAGGACCTGGCACTTGCCAGGCAGGTGAGGCACCACTGAGCTACATCCCCAGCCCCCGAAAGTTTTTATTTTTTCTTTTGTTGCCTGTATTTTGGGAGTCATCAAAGAAATTATTAATCATTCCAGTGCCATGAAGATTTTATTTTAAAGCACAGAGTTTGCCATTTGAGATTGAATGAAAGAAAGCATTAGCCTCTAATGGGCACAGAATGTGGCTTTTAGATCCCACACTGGCCTAGAAAGATTCCTTCTCAAACAGAAGGTGTTCAGAGCACCCATTTGTAACACCTGACATCTTGATGTTTCTCCTGAAGGTTAACATCCGATAATATCTTTCCAGCCTGCCATGTTCATGAAGAATTGTTGTACTTCTGGAGAAATGTGAGGAAACTTCTTGGCCTATTGAAAAGTCTCTGCTCTTGTTGAAGGGAATTCACAGTGGCAGGTTCTGATGACATCAAACTCCATGGGGCAGAGATGTGGATATGTTGGACTTGACCTTCTTGTACATAGGCAGGGCCCATGGAACATAATGTGTGGGTTTCTTTTTCAGTCACCTATGACTTTCTGGCCATGGAAGACATAAACAGGGACAAGATCCAAGATGTTGTCTTTCTTTATAAAGATACCAACAGCAGTAACAATGCCAGCCTATCCTGCGCTGATGAAGGTAATTCTCATTTTATCTGAACAAAGAGGGCCTCGCTGTAGGGAGAGGGATCTTTGTCTTGGGTCACCTCTCACTTTTGTGTGTCTAAGGGAGTGGGTGGTGGGAATTCTGGAAGCCTTGTCCTAAATTACTCTTATAGGTCTGGTGTTTAGAGGAAGCAAATGGTGGGAGTTCTGCAAACCACCCCAGCATTCCTCCTTCTTAGCAGGACTAGGAAGAGGCAAAGAGAGGCTCAGCTCTCTTACCCTGCTTGGAGCCGACACTAGTGTCCAGTGAGTCTGAGGGGTAAGGGGCCAGGAATAAAGGAAATGGGCCCAAGCCAGTCGTGGTGGCACATACCTGTAAACCATGAGTTTGAGGCCAGCTTGGGCTACATTGTGAGTTCAAGACCAGCATGAAAACACACACACACACACACACAGCCAGCTTGGGCTACATTGTGAGTTCAACTTGGAGCCGACACTAGTGTCCAGTGAGTCTGAGGGGTAAGGGGCCAGGAATAAAGGAAATGGGCCCAAGCCAGTCGTGGTGGCACACACCTGTAAACCATGAGTTTGAGGCCAGCTTGGGCTACATTGTGAGTTCAAGACCAGCATGAAAACACACACACACACACACACAGCCAGCTTGGGCTACATTGTGAGTTCAAGACCAGCATGAAAACACACACACACACACACACACACACACACACACACACCCAGGTGCTGCGGGGCTGGGGCAAGGTGTGAATGAGGCAGGAAACAGCAGGTGGTCTAACAGGTGGCTGTGGTCTCCCCTCCAGGCTTCTCCTCTCCCTGTGCCTTTGTGGCTGCCGTGTCAGGGGCCAACGGCAGTGTGCTCTGGGAGAGGCCTGTGGTCCAAGACGTGGCGCTTGTGGAATGCACCACACCCCAGCCGTCAGACAGTAAGGTGTCCTCTGCCTGCATCCTGGTGGGAAGACCTGGCCCCTTCCTTGCCGTCAGCCTGTCCACAGGTGGGGCTCTCGCTGTGGAGGGTGAGCCCTGAGTGCTACCTCAAGGGTGGTTGCCTGGGTAGGGGCCTCCAGGGGCGGTGTGGCCACTTGAGCGTCAAGTTCCCCAGCTCCCTCAGCTGCTCTGCTACACTGCGTCGGTGCCTCATCTCCTCAGGTCCGCACCTTGCTATGGGGTACATGCAGTCAGAGGTCACCCGCCATGGGTAGCGAGTTGAGGAGGGCACAGGGTGGCTGCTTGGAGGGATGTTTAGGCCTGTGGTACTCACTCTCTGGAGCGAGTCTGAGCCTCACGCAGCAACACGTGAGCACCAGGGGAGGAAGGCGTGGCCGGTGACTTGGAGGGGGCCTGGCACCTGACCAAGGCCAGAAGGAATTCTGTGCCTAGCACCTAATGGATATGGGCATTTTCTTTGCAAGGTGTAGTTTTAAGACTGCAAGGAAAATAAAGAACAGACCAGGAATATTTTAAGAATTGAACACTTGATCCAGAAACAGATATGGGTGGGTTAGTGTCCTGTCGGAGCCTACGCGGAGTAGTAGGCCCAGGTCTGGGCGTGACCGGCTGGTGCGGACTGTATTCCTGTGACCTGGCAGGGGCAGGGTCTCCAGGGGCCTGCAGTGCGGGAGGCTGGGTCCTATGTCCTGAGCTGGGAAGGGTCCCTGGTGTCCTTGAGGAGCCCGTCCTCAGTGTCCCAGAGCAGCAGATCCAGACATGAAGTGAGGGCGGGCCTCGGGCCCCAGGAATGACCCTCCTGGCTTTGGTGAAGTGGCCGCCCGTTGTTCCCCTCATGGGCCTGTGTGCGCGTTCAGCGTCCCTGCGTCTGTCCTCTGGCTGCACACGTTGCTGTTTCTGAGAGAGCAACGGGTCTGGGATCCCAAGCGTGGACAGAGCCACGTGAGTCGCTGTGAAGGGGTCTGGAGCGGCGTGCGGTGATGGTGTGCTTGGTTTTAGGGGAGACCCTGTGGAGCCACCCCAGCAGCTTTGGCGGGAACACGTCTGTCCTGAGCCCTCTGCTCCAAGTACCTGACGTCGACGGTGATGGGGCCTCTGACCTGCTGATCCTCACCCAGGAGGGAAAGGAGGTGCAGACCGGAGCCACTCTCCTCCCACGTCACCCAGGCCACTCGCCTGTCCCTGGCCTCCTTGTCACTTCCACTTCCCAGAGAGAATGGAGGCCTGAGGCCCACAGATGCAGTGCGCCGAGGCGGCCCCATCTCTGTAGGAGCTTGTGTGCCACCCCGCTTGTGCGGCTGCTGTCAGGGTGAAGCTGCAGGCCCGGGGCTGCTGTGCACCTCCAGGCAGGCTGTGCTGTGCAGAGGCACAGAGCCTGCGTCACAGCCTCTTCCCCAGACAGGAGGACTTTGGCTTCGCCCTGAAAGGCCCTCCTTCCTGTGGACGCAGCTTTCCCTCTCCCTACTGCTCTTCCTCGTTGTAGATCAGCGGATACATCTATTCAGGCAGCACCGGGGACCAGATCGGCCGCAGAGGCAGCCTTGGTGTGGGCGGAGACAGCGGCCCCCTCCTTCACGTCACCAGGACGGGTGCACACTACCTCCTCCTGCCCTGCGGTATGGCGTCTCGCCACCTTCCGAGGGTGGGCTTCCCTCTCGTAGTGGCAGTGGGTTAAAACCGGAGCTCAAGCCTGGTACGGTGGTGCCTATCTATAATCCCAGCACTGTGGGAGGCTCGGTTTGGAGGATTCCAAGCTCAAGCCCAGCCTGGGCAATTTTGCAAGACCCCATCTCAAAACAAGGCTGGGGGCTGTGGCTGTATGAAGGCCCCGAGTTTAACCCCAGGACCACCACCAGCCCACCAAAAAAAAGGGTGAGCTCAGCACCTGTGGAAAAAGCAGTGTACATCCACCTACGGGCTTCTTCCGCGCCTGCGCTTACCTTAGACTCACCAGTTAGTCCTTGACAATCAGAGCCCAAGGCCTGCACCCGGCCTGGCAGCAGGTGCTGTTGGAGATGGGGCTGGTGGTGCACGTGAGCCCCGGGCACAGTGTGACTCTGGTAACCGTGGGCTGTCCTGTGTTTTTGAATAGCAAGCTCCCTCTGTAGCCGCTCTTTAAAGGGTCTCTATGAGGAGGTGACCGGGAGAGGCGGCCCGTTTAAGAGTGACCCCCGCTGGGAGAACGTGCTCAACGCCTCCACCCACAGCCTCCTGCCCAGGTCAGTCTGACACATAGGCGTCTTTCCCACAGGTCACAGGCATCAGTGAGGAACAAACTGTGTGCGGCCCAGGATAACCAGGCAGGCCGAGGAACACCGGGGCCTGGCTGGACCCTGAGGCTGTCCTGCAGTCAGACATGAGAAGTGGCCAAAAAAGCGCTGAGCAGCACTAAGGAGAAAGGCTCCTGTTGGGGGCTCGTCCCTTATCCCACAGACAGCCAGGGTCCTGGTTCTATTTTCTAGCCGGGGCTGAGAAATACAGGACTCGGCCTCCAACCGGGGGCGCTCTGGATGGGAGACCCGTCCCAAGGATGGTGTGCATTTCCCTCCCTCTCCTCGTGCAGCTCTGGAGCAGTCCGCTACCTGATGAACGTCCCCGGGAAGGCCGGCCAGGATGTGCTCCTCGTTACTTCGGAGGCCTGTGTGCTACTGGACGGGCAGAAGCTGACTCCCAAGTGGACCCTGGGCATAGCCCAGGTCCTGAGGTGCGGTCCTGAGGTTTTTGTCCCGGAGCCAAGCATTGGCTGCAGACTTTGCCATGGGTGCACCTCTTCCCTTTCCCGGCATCCCAGTGGATCCCACTGGCTGGTGAAGGGGATGAGGCGTTGGACTGCAGCCTCTCACCTGTCCTTGGTGTGGCCTCTGAACCCATAGAGTCCCCAGGGAAACCTCTGCTCGTGTCTGGCAGCCCCTGAGGTCTGAGCGATATTTCCTTCATTTCAGTCTCCTTCCAGAGACCTCTGTGAGCTTTTCCCCAATCTCTTTCTAGAAAACCTATCCTTGGCCACTATAAACCGGACACCCCAGCAGTGGTCATTGAAAACGGAACTGGCACGGACAGACAGGTAGGCATGTTTCCTCTGGAGGTGCCACCTACCTGTAACTGAGCACCTTCTGCGAAAGCAGACATGGTGTGGCCCTTGGGGCTGCTGCCCTCGGAACTGGAGATGGGTTCTGGCTTCCTCAGGGCTGGCATGCTGGAGGGGAGAGGCTGTGCCTGTGCAGGCCCTGAGGTCAGCCCGATAACCAGAGTGTCCCCTCTTCAGATCCTGCTTCTGGGCCTCAGCAGTGGGGCCGTCCTGTGGAGCCAGGCCCTCCCGAGCTTCCCCGGGGCCCCACCGACCACCAGCCTGCCAACTGCAGACCACCGCTCAGCCTTCTTCTTCTGGGGCCTCCACGAACTGATTGGCACCAATGAGATGGTATGGGGCACTCAGGGAGCACCCTTGTGCCAGGAGCCGTGGCCTGAGATGCTAGGTTTGGGTCCCCAGACCTACTCATATCCGGGCCACCACAAGTTCATCGAAGCCGAGTGAAAGCTGGTCCCAGCAGCGACCCTGAGGGGAGTGTATCCTGCGGGGTCCTCTTGGGGACGCATGAGAGGGATCCAGGAGCGCTGCCGGACGACAGTCGGAGGGCAAGCGCTAATGGTCACCGAGTGGGAGCAGGGCCAGTCTGGGGCAGGTGGGGCTGGCAGGTGGGTATGGAGCTGGAGTTGGCAGTTTGCGAACTCCAGGTGGGACCTTGGACAGAGCTCTAGGCACGGTCGCTCTAACAGCAGCGCCTGTGGGTTGACCCAAGCGTCTCCAAGGATGATGCCATAGTTGCAGGCTGAGTGTGATGTGGCTGCAGCCCCAGCAAGGCAGAGTGTAAAACTCATTGCTGGTCCTCGCCCCAGGATCCCAGGGATGCCCGGCACAGCCTGTACATGTTCCACCCTACCCTCCCCGGCGTCCTGCTGGAGCTGGCCAATGTCTCTGCCAACATCGTCGCCTTTGATGGTGAGTACGGAAGGGGCGTGATCTCCGGCGCCCTAGGTACGCGCTGCCTGGTCCTGAGAGACACCAGTAATTGTCTCCCACAGCAGTCCTGTTTGAGCCGAGCCGCCATGCTGCCTACGTCCTCCTCACAGGCCCAGCAAGCTCGGACGTCCCTGGCCTGGTCTCCATGATCAAGCACAAGGTGCGGGACCTTGTCCCAGACAGCAGAGTGGTCCACCTGGGTAAAGGCAGGCGAGACAGTGACCAGGCCATCAGAGACAGGTTCTCCTGGCTGCGGTATCGGAGCGAGGTATAGGTGGCGCCAGTGGGCACCCATGGAGAGATTCCAGCTGTAAAAATCAAACATTCTGGGACAGCTACCCATCTCTCGGCCTCCACACTGACCCTGTGACAGTCTCCCCAGGACAGGCATGGCTTTATGTGTCATACCCAGAGACGTGTGTGGCCAGGACACCGCGGCCATCACACGGTGTCACCCTGTGCCCCTGGGGCTTTGTCTAGGCCAGGCTGCCTCCCTGTGGTCTTGCCGGGAGGAGCTCAGGCCTGGGGATCCCCTGCCACTCCAGCTTCCCCTGCCAGAGAAGCCACTGTTATGATCACGGGTGTCCCTTCCTCTTCCTACCTGGTGGTACCTAAGGCTTCACAGCCTCAAACCCTTCCCAGAGCAGAGGGAACATCTCCCATGCAGGTTGAAAAAACAGAGCTTGGGAATGGAGTCTCCCCGACCAGGGCCGGCTGTAGTGTTCACAGGCGCCCTCAGTACACACTGGAGCTGCTGACCCCAAGGAGGGCCCTGTAGCCCGGCAGGGTGAACACCCCACCCTAGTGCTGCTTACCTGATGCAGGAGGACTCACCTCTGTGCCTTCTGGCTCCTGAGGCCCAGGGATAGCTGTGCCCCGTGTGCAGCAGCCCTGCCCACACCAGAGCTCAAGCTTTGTAGCAAAGCAGCCCGACTCTGTCACCACAGGAAACACCAGAATAAACATGTTTGCACCGTGTGGAAAAGCCCCAGTGGTCAAGTGTGAGCCTCCATGCTGTCTGCCTGCCCGCCTGTCCCTCTGCCCCCAGCAGAAAAGTGCTACAGCGGTGAGCGGGAATTCTCAGGCCAGGGTGGTGACTGAGAAGGCGAGTCCTCCACACGGCTCTGCTGCAGACAGGGGACTCGATTCCCTCGGCCTCCAGGCAGGTCTCCACTGTGAGGAGGCTGCGCCTCAGGCCAGGCCCTCTGCCCCTTAGAGCGGGTCTCTCAGCCGAACAGCTAGCCTGTGGTCTCAGTACTCCAACCGGGGCCAGCACACAGCCATGACGGAGGGGTAGGGGTGGCCTCTGGCTGCCACTGGGGCAACAGGGAGCGTGGAAGGGGCTTCTGGGAGCTAGAGCTTGAGCAAAACAGTGCGCAGCCTTTCGGAGAGCTCCACAGGAGTCTGCCGTCCGTGGAGTTTCCGTGGGGACCAGGCCTTGAGGCTGCGCAGGTGTAGCCCATACTTCCTCCTGCATGGGAAGGGCTAGGGTGGGAACACAGGGGTCGAAACCTACTACTCACAGGGCCCTGAGTGCTGAGGGAGACAAATTGTGCATGTGGAAACTGGGGGCCTACCCTTCCACGGCGTAGAGTGGAGCACGTGAACCCACAGAAAAGCTGCACCAGGGACCTGAACCCGCTGGGCCGGGTAGCACCCTGCAGGCCACCTGGTGGGTCCTGAGGACAGGAAGATTGTTTTATAGGAGGTGAAAGGCCGGGCAGAGGTTTGCCTCCCTCCCGCAGTGGCCTTCAGCCCCAGACTTAAGCATAAATACCTTCATACCCATGACCACTTGGGTCCTGGAGACTGGCAGGCAAGGGCCCCAGGCAGTGCCCAACAGTGGCAGCGGCCCCTTACCAACCCCAGGCCTCCTTGCTCTTCGCTGGCCTCCTACATCCTGTTCACCTTGGCCCTGCCCGAATGGACGGTGCCGCTGCCTGCCCCAGAGACTGGGCTCTCCAAAGCTGCAGGTGGAGTCCAGCCTGAAGCTCCGGAGCCTGATCCCTGCGCCTCGAGCCCACATCTGGGCCCTCCACAGAGGCTGCCTTTCACACCTTCCCTCCCAGCCACACACCACATGCTCATACCACATACATGTGCACCCACAACATGCAAATGTACTACCTGTATATGCTACAAGCCCTTACACCACCCACACAGGCATGAACTACACATACTTATGAACACACATGCCCCAACTGGACCCGAAGCAGAATGGGCTCAGGGCGAGGGCCAAGAGTCTTTTATTTCTATGCCAGAAGCAGATGTGGGAGGGTGTTACTTCTGTGCCAGAGGCATCCCTGTGGTTGAGGTGGACCCCAAAAGAAGCTGGCCTGTAACTTCATCTAGTCTAGAAGAATAGAGGACACGCAGGCAGCGCCAGGGATGCTGGTGCCCCCCAGGAAAGGTTGGGTAAGAAGACAGGATTCTGGCTCTGCCACCCTGGCAAAGACCTTCCCTGCAGGGACCTGGAGCCTCACAGTTAGGGCAACAAGGTGCAGTCGTCTGTGCACAAATCCGGTGGGGAAGCTGCGGCTCAGATGGATGCTGGATGGGTACGAGGGGTGTACAGGGAGAGAGCGCCTGCCGGGCACAGGCTCCTGATGAGTGTGCAGCCACCCCGAGTGCCTCGGCAGGACCCGGGTCCCGGGGGCGATGTGGCGCTCTCCTGGACGGGGCAGGCTGCCCAGAGACCTGCACATGTCCATGGATAAGTGCGTGTGCCTTGGCCTTACCATCCTGCCAGCAATAGATCCTCTGGCCGATAAAAGCCCCTCCCTGTGACTCAGCAGCTGGGCCATTCCCTTCCCGGAAGGGGCAGCCTTTACTGGAGGGAAAAGGAAAAGCGCAGAGACTGGGTTCTGGACACAAGGACACCAGTTTGGGGGCTCAGCAGTCATCAGGGGAGCGTGACCCTGCAGTCACACACAATGTTGGCAGCAGGGCCTGGACGTGACAAGGCGAGTCCACCTGGCCCTCCCCTCACCATCTGCAGCACGGCTGGTGGTTGGAGGTTCCCCAGAGGTGGGACGAAGAGCTGGGCTGGGGCTTGAATGCCGAGGCTTCCGCATAAATGGGAACTCTGTAGGTGAGAAGAGGATGAAGCAGGTGGCTGGAGGGCCCTCTCCCCCTGCAGAGCCCACCACTTCGTAGGCACAGGGCACTGCCCGGGCTCACCGTCTCTTTGTCTCCAATGGGATCGCGGCCTCTGCCAGCAAGCCCTTGTACATGTTAGACTTGAGGAACCTAGGGTAGGAGTCCTACAAGAGATGCAAGAGAAGCTGGGTGTGGTGGCGCACGCCTGTAATCCCAGCTCTCGGGAGGCTGAGGCAGGAGGATCCCTGTGAGTTCAATACCAGCCTGGGCTACATAGTGAGTTCCAGGTCAATCTCAACTATGTAGTGAGAGCCTGTCTCAAAAAAATAAATAAATAAAACAATGCAAGAGACCCGTGGCCTCTTCTACCTCCTTAACCCCTCAGTCAGGCCTGTGCAAGCACTGCTGAGACCTCCTCTGCCTACAAGGGCCTCAGGCAATAGGGTGCTAAAAGCAGCCCGCCCAGAGCAAGTCAGACCCACCTGGAAACTGTTTCCCATCAGTGGGGCCACAGATAGCCAGAGGGGGCAGGATCCACAGTGCCCACACATGGAGCACAAGCCAGGATCCCCAGAGCAGGGGCAACAAGGAGCCAAGAAACCTGTGTCTCCACGGAGGGAGGGAAAGGGCAGGCCCCAACCTCAGAGCTCTCAAGGGGAAGTCTCCGGTTGGATTTGCACAAGGGGTCCAAAAGACGGCTCAGTGATCATATTGTGTTGAGACTGCTGAGGGCCGAGGAAAAACATGGTCAGAACCAGGACTTTCAGCTGGGCGTGAGGAGGTGGAGACACAATGTCAAAGAGATTAAGAGAAACTAACCTGAGTCAATTTAAGTGTCCACTCCTGTGTCTTATTTAAACTAAATACTTCTTAGTTGAGTCTCCTGCAAGGCCTGGGAACAGTGGCACCCTGGTAACAGCAAGTGCCTCCAGTACACGGGTTAGGGGCTTCTAACTACCCCTGATGGCCAAGGCTTCCTGTGGAGAGGCAGAGTCCAGATGTGGGCAGGACAAGCCTGGAAAGGCCATCATCCCAGAAAGCAGGAGGCCATCAAAGACTGCAGAGACACATCAAATGTAACCGTGGCTTCAGAGTAATAACAGAAGCCAGGCGTGGTGCCACAGGCCTGTAATCTCAGCTCTTGGGAAGCTGAAGCAGGAGGCTCTCCACGAGTTCAAGGCCAGCCTCACCTTGTTTCAAAAATTTTAAAAAACAAAAAGAGTAACAACAAAAGGTGGGCATGGTGGCCTGCACCTATAGTGCTGGTACTTGGGAAGTTGAAGTAGGAAGATCACTTGGACACAGGAGTTCAAGTCCAGCCTAGACAGCACAGGAAGACCCCATCTTAAAAAGAAAAAATGATGAAGCTTGTAATCCCAGCTAGTTAGAAGGTTGAGGTAGGAATATGCAAGTTCAAGACCTCGTCTCAAAAAAGTAAATGAATAAAGCAGGTGTGGTAGTATATGCCTGTAATCCCAGCACTCCAGAAACTGGGGCAGAAACACCACTGCGGGTTTGAGGCCAGCCTGAATCACAAAAAGGAAAAAGAAAAAAGTGAATGAAAAGGGCTGGGAATGTAGCTCAGTGGCAGAGCACTTCCCTAGTATGCACGAGTCCCCGAGTTCAATCCCCAGTACTGGGAAAACAAAAAAACAGACCCTACTGACCACCTTTAGTGGACACTAGGGGAATACCTCTTTTGTTTGTGTCTTTGGTTATTAAAACAGGGTCTCGCTATGTCCTTCAGGCTGCCCTTGAGCTCACTATGTAGCCCAGGCTGGCCTCCCGAGTTCTGGGATTACAGACATGCACCATCACGCCCAGGAAACTAACTCATTATTTGTAAAAGTAAAAGAGGAAAGGACCTATCATTGACTTTGCTATGCCATCTATCCCATGTGAAAACCAGAATGGACAAAGGCAGTGTGGCAGGACACGCTGCAGCTGACAGACAGGAAGGGTGGGACTGGGACACCACACGCCACAGGCCACAGGCCACAGGCCAGCGAGTCTAGGACAGTGAGTGCCACAGGCTGCGGAGGAGCACAGCAGACAAACCCTCTGAAACATTCTGGACAAAAACCTGATAGATAAAACACTGACGAAGACTCTGATGGGCTGACGGCTACTTCGGCTGCGGAGCCCACCTTCTTCATGAGCGTGTAGATGTGTAATTGTGCATCGTGCAACACGTAGCAGTGGGGCTGGCGCAGGCCCTCTAGGGTTCGCTCCATCGTCCGGCTGTCAATGTTGACCCAGCGGGCAGCGCCAGGGGCCAGGAACTGCCTGGGGTGGGAACGGCACAAGGTGGGTGCAGGCCAGGGAGGGACGCGCGACAGTGGGAGGGCGGCCCAGCGCCCACCCGCCACTCACTGGTACACGGCGTGCACCAGGGCAGGGACCTGGGCCTGCCCTCCACAGCGCAGCTCCTCGCGCACCTCCCAGAAGCTGAGATTTTCCGCTGGGGACCAGCACCAAGTTAGCGGCCCACCCTGAGTAGCAGCCAGCTAGGTGTCCATACAGGCTGGACCAAGAGAGATCCTGAGCCAGACCGAGGGACCCCGAAGATTCCAGGAACCTAGCAGAGGATGCTTCTCACCACTGAACTCCTTCTGGAGGAAGTCCATGAAATGCGTCCTGCCCACAGGGTCATCCAGAAGCTCCCGGAAGCTGAAGCCCCACCGCTCCACGCGGAGCTTTGTGGGCACAGCCACGCTGGAGGGACAAGAGGGGACTCGCTAAGCTGGCCCTAATGCCAGCCCCAGACAGAAGTGCACCTCTGTCCCCCTGCACTCCAGGCTCACCTGGGTGCATTCATGGCCCACTAGGTGTCATCATCTGTGATCCAGGGGTTGCTGGGAAAGCACTCCGATATGATGGGGTCATGCGCGCTATGCTGGTTGCTGAACTTCAGGTACCTGGGGGCCACAGGGCTGAACAGAGAGGGGCTTCAGGGATGAGGAGGCCCTAGAAAGGCTTGGGGCTTGGGGTCTCCCGCCACCAGCCCCCTAACTCACGCCTCAAGGCAGATGGAGGATTTTACTCGGGTCCTGCCCAGTGCCTTCCTGGAGAACTCAATCTGGGGAGCCAGAGCTGTGAGGGGGGACTTGGGCTGGGGACGGATTGCCCAACACCCCACCCCCAGGACCTACCTCCCGCTTATAGAAGTCAGAGCTCTGAATCCTGGAAGGGAATATAGGGGCAGTTACAAGTTTCCTTCAGAGATCAGAAATCCCATTTACCCAAACCCCGCTGAGCTGAGCTCTGGCCCCAGGACAAGGCATGAACAGTTAGGCCTCCAGCCCCAGTCCTCAGAGTCCCTTCCTCCTAACTTTGAGGCCTTAGTCTGCAGATTTCCAGGAAGTTCTGCCAAACTCCATATCCAAGTTACTTTGAAGTTCCCCAATGATATGATTAATCAGTCATATTTTCAGATATACATATGTTTCTATTTATTTAGCGTCCTGGGGATTGAACACAAAGCTTTTGCACTAATCTACAGCTTTTTGTAAAATTTTGAGACAAGTTCTCACTAAATTGCTGTTTCCCAGGTAGGTCTAGAACTTGCTATTCTCCTGCCTCAGCCTCCTAGAGCTCTCTGATTAAAGCCACCACACCCAGCTTTCAGATGTTTTTCTTTTTTTTTTTTTTTTTTTTTACAACACATTACACTAAGGAATCCTGATTTAACTTAGAACCCCCTGGTCCCTCCAGATTCACCTCGTGGCTGGGCTGCAGTAGGCAAGTGCAAGACTGGCTGACCCAGCTTCTTCCACTAGGCATGGCGCTGGAGGTGGAGGATACTCCCCCCACCCCCGTTCTGGGCATCAAACTAGGGACCTTGCACTGCGAGGCAGGCGCGGTGCCACTGAGCTACATCCCCCGTCCTGGAGGATACTTTTGATTTCCAATTTCTATCCCAGTTCTTTGATGGAAAAATTAGGGTGCTAAAGTTATGAAGGAATGAGGGCCAGGGATTTAGCTCAGTGGTTCCACCACCTACCTCACAAGTACAAGGACCTGAGTTCAATCCCTGGTACGCCCCCCCAAAAAGAAGAAATGAGATACTTGGTCTGGGGATTTAGCTCAGTAGCGCCATGCCTGACTAGCACAAGGTCATGAGTTTGGTCCCAGTACCAAAAAGAAAAAAAAACCAAAAAGATACTGTGGCGAGCCGCAACGTCAGAATCCTGCCAGCAGGTCCCAAACCCGAGGGAGGAACAACAGGAGAGCAGTTTCACGAACTTACTTCCAGGCTCATGCTCTACTGTAGCAAGGCCCCGTTTAGTTTTCAGGGTCGGGTATACATAGGCTAAAACCGCAACCAAAAGTGTAAGCACTTATACTCTTCAGCTGCATGGGAGCGAGAGTACCGCCCGCACATTCCAGAGGGAAATAACAACCATTATGGGTTTCATCTACTACCAGCTGAACTCGCCCCTGGGCTATGGGCGAGAGCACGTCCGTGCCAGCGAGGTGACTCAAAGTTCAATCATGGCTAGGCCTGTGTCAAGGCTCACCATAATGGCTCGCCATAAGATACAATAGGAATCTGATCACATCTGTCTGTCCTGCTCCTGTTTCCTCTGGTTGGGAGGCCGCCATAGGAAGTGGCTGCAGCCCGGGTCCCCCAGCATAGCCCTGCTTGTCGCCTCTCTACCTCGCTGTGGACTCTTGATACTGTTCTGGCCTGGGGAAAGAGCCCCCACCCTCTCTCAGGGCGACTCTACTTACATGCAGTCGGGGCAGCGGGTGGGAGGGAAAAAAAGGATGAGCATTAGCAAGAGGCCTGGAGTAAGAGGCACTGGGGGCTGCGGTCAGAGGCAGCGCAGGACTCTGGAGCGGCTGCATCAGATCCATTTGGGTGGGTGGGTGGCAGGCCTTGAAGTCCCAAAGTGGTTGTGGGTGGGCATGGGCTCGGGGGGATGCAAGCACTCACTGTCTGCACTCGGCCGGCAGTGCAGGAGCCTCTCTCTGGACCCTGCTCCAGCACATTACGAACCCCAGGCTGTAGAGGGAAGATGAGGTGAAGGGGCAGTAAGTCCACCCTCCGGGGCCCAGTACCAAATCTGGTTGCCCTTTGATGTGGAACTGGTCTTCAAGGAAACTCAGTTTGGCCCTGAGCCCCCTCTGCTCATTCCCATCCACCCAATGGTGCCCCCAGACAGTAGGGGACCTCAAGCCGCCTAGTCCCAGGCAAAACCCCTGTGAAGCCCAGGCCTACAGCTGAGCCCAACCCCCACTTGCCCCCTCGAGGGCCCTCACTACCCAAACTGGCTTCCCAGAGGGAAGCTGACTGGTCCTGTGGTGGGGCTATAAGCCTCATGGGTGCTCAGCTAAGTCACAAATGTAAGACCTCCTGTCACACACCATGGCCCCGAAGGGCGTGTCCTTTCTACAGGTTCAAATGAGACGTTCTGGGAAGAGCTTTTCAGCAAAGCTCACTGAGCCCTATTGCTGGTGGGGAACCTCACCCCCCCACCCCCAGGGGCTTACCGGGGGTCTGTTCACCAGCCGGTATGTCTGCTCCTCGCATGCAGCGACCAACCTGTCCCCTTTCCTGCGCTGCTTAGCCGCCCTGGAGGAGGGAGGGGAGGGGAAGACAGAGGGCGCACCACAGCCCCACCCAGGCCCAGATGTGCTACCCACAGCCCTAGGGCGCGGGTGCCGTGGGCCTTGCAGAGCTTCCCGGCTTAGTGCAGGGGGTGCTCACCGCAGCTGCTCTCGGGCCTGTGTCACCACCAGGTCCCACATGTGGTTGATCTTCCTGTGCAGCTGGTCATGGTGCGCCTGGGGATATGAGGTATGAGGTCTCCGTGGGTGGCCCCTCAGGTGCCCAGCTCTGGAACAAGGACCCCTACCTCCCCAGAGAGACAGCAGGGTGCGAGTGGTATACGTGTGGGTCACACGGAGCCTGGACTTATTCTCTGGGCACACTGTGGGGCTCCAGCTTTCTCTGGCCACGAAACCTTCTGGGGGTCCCACCTTCTCATGGTCCATGAGGGCCCCCTGCTTTCGGATGTTCTTCTTGGTCACGTAGATGGCTGGAGGGGCAGAGAACAAGCCGAGGAGGGGTAAGCTTTGCCCCTACCTGTCGCGAGCCGCGACGTCAGGATCCTGCCAGCAGGTCCTAAACCTGAAAGGACGAGGACGGAGAGACGGGACCCTCTAAGAGAAACGAGGGAATTATGGAGAGCACAGCCATATTGACCTGTGATTCACCGGAGCAGTGTGGACGTGCCGTCACCCATAGCAACGGGCTAGTTCAGCTGGTGATCTGATCTATTGCCTAGCAGATGTAACTCATAATAATTGTTATTGCTTCCTTCTGGAATGTGTGGGCGGTACTCTCGCTCCCGTGCAGCCCTTGCTCCCGTGCAGCTGGAGAGTATAAAAGGAAGAGGTTCTGTAGTAAAGCAAGCAAGGAATTTGAGAAGAAAGGTGCCTCCCGTCTCTCTGTCCTCGTCCTTTCAGGTTTAGGACTTGCTGGCAGGATTCTGACGTCGCGGCTTGCGACACCTTCCCAGTGGTTCCTACCCTAAGGCCACTAGACCCAGGAGCCTGCCACAGGCTGGTCCCACACTCCACTTACCATAGTCCAGCTCTGCAGCTGGCCACAGGGTGCTGGTCCAGAAGTATGGTGTCTGGTGTGGTGCAGGGAGAAGGCTGTCTGGGCCCTCCTGGACCTTCCCTACCCCAGGTGCCCTAGGTACCCCAAACAGGTACCCCCCCCCAAGGAGATCGGAACGGTAGGGAGTCAGCCTCCCTCAGCTCAACCGGCTACTGAGCATTCTCTCCACCTGAAACTGAGGTCAACTGACAACCTTGGAGGGCTTAGGCTGCCTCCTGTCAGGGTGAGGTTTGGTGGGGGCCCGGCCAAGCCTAGGATGTAGTCGCAGTGGGAGCTTGGGGCAGCCTGGGCCTCCGATGTGGTCAGGAAAGGGCAGGTGTTGGGGGGTGTTTGGGTACACAAGCTGCGGCACCAGGATCCTGTCCTCACGCCCAGCGAGACAGCCCCTTCGGGGGTGCGGGATTGAGGACCACCAGGAGGCCGCAACTTCCTCATGGACGTTGCTCTTTATGGGGGTCCTGCTGTGCCCCCCAGAAAACCGTCGCTCCCTCCCCTCACATTAGTCCTTCTGGTCCAGGACTTGCGGGGAGGGGGAGTCCGAGTCCGTTCTACCCAGGAAACTCCGCCCACCCAGATCCCACGTCTGCCTGGCGGGGTTTGCAATCCCCACAGAACCTGACCTGGAACCTGCAGGGCGTCTCGTCGGGCCTGAGCAGCGGGTAGACGTAGCAGTGCTGCGCCAGGAGACCGCCCAGGTGCAGGGCTTCTGCGGTGCG